CTTTTCTTGTACATAACCAATCTCTACACATAATACAGTACGTATGTAATGTGTAGCGCCTATACTGTTTGCTAATCAAGAACTAGGACTCTCTGGTTAGTGCGCCCGCCGCTTATTAAGTCCAATTTGGTCTGGGCCCGAGTTGGGTTTAATAACTGGCGACTACTGTATTCTAGAGTTTACAAGCAAAGATTGAAGGTTAGTATGAATATTTGGACAGAAATCCATCGGTCACAGCGGGATACCCGCGTTATATTCATTGAACTGCCAACGGGCAGCTAGTAGTATACAGTCGGTTCCTAATGAAATGTCAACCTACTGCCTATTATATTCAAATAGGCTTGTAATACTAATTATTTACTAGTCTGAGCTCGAGCTATTCCAAGCACGGCAGAATGTCGGCTTCTGAACAAGCGTCTTGACGACGACCCGCAGGAAGTATATTCCTTAAAAGTGTCTATTTAAATACTATGCATTTTTCCTTTGCACATCTGAATTTCGATATATTGTATAGAAAACATGCACAAAAATATGATTTCTTGTACTCGTTTTGTAGTAAGTTACGTCTTCTCCACATTTACTGCCCTAAGAAAGTGTATCATTCGGTTTTTACGAAAACTGTAAATTGTCGAATAATTATATATGTCTATCAGTCGTTACACTTGCATTCAAAAGTTTCCAAATTATATTCTGTATACATTCCATCTACAGAGCCCAATATATTTCCCTATGTTATAAGGAAGAGGTCACAGAGTGCTAATAAAATTTTGCAATGGATGTTGTAAGTAGCATAGGCCAGCGCTCCTTATAAGTTTCTATATTTTTTTACTATCTGCAAAAACGACACACACAGTCCAGGTCCTATACAAATCATTAACCTACAAGAGAAAGAGAGGCGGTCCGAGCGCTGAGCCTCGAGGAACTCCATGTTAGTAGTCTAGCCTGAGCAAATGCTAGCAACCTTGCAGACTCTCCTGAGGCGTCGTGCCTGCCGCTGACTGCCACAATGATTGCTTTGTCAGTGCAAAGTCATATGCCTTCGCGGTGGTTGTACCCACGCGATGACTGTCCACACACGATAACCTAAACCTATGGAGAGGACACAGACGCACGCGAGCCTACGCGCGTGTCAGCTGGTCGCATTTCCTCAAGGACCACTTAGGTTCGCCATGGCGGGTGACCTTATCCCAATACGTCCAATCAGGCCACAAGCGAACGCGCTTGACAATCACTTATAAGCTACTGTCATATCTCAGACAGTAAGTTGTACACGGACTGAGAGGACACCGCCAGTCCGCTCTCGATTGCCGGGCTAGACCCGAGCCGGGACAACAGTGCGCTGGAGATCAACCAGCGGCAACAGCTACCCGAGAAAGCAATTCCGGGTTTTGTGCACAATAAACTCTCGTCCGGGTGGATTCCAAAGTTACGCTCTTCTTATTGTGTTCTTCCTTGGGGATTGCAAAGGGCGTAATTTGACGTTGACGCATGACAAATTGCCACCGTAACAACACTCCGCTCTCGACGACTGTGGGCCTTGATCGTTGCCGCTTGACATGTCGCTACTGTGACAGTTTTTATGGGTGTGCGGTCTG